TCTTTCTTTCTTTCTTTCTTTCTTTCTTTCTTTCTTTCTTTCTACGGTTTTGATCAGTTGTTTATATGTAACCTCCATTTCTGCCCAGTCTTTTTTTTTTTCTGTCCCCTTTTCAATTTATTTGATCCATGGGGGGTTGGGAGTTGGAACTGCAGCCTGGACTGTCTATAGCGGGAAAATTGTCTAGCAGATTCCTAGCCTTTGACAATCCTAAAATTAGAGAGAGCAGAGCATGATAGAAATATTGCAGTAATTCTGTCCTACAACTAGGCAGAGGTGGATTTCTCAGGGCTTGGATGGATTGATCCATCCTCCCTATATTTTCCTCAGCCTTATGGGAAAAGTTGCAAATGAAACTAATACAAAAAGTAACTCCCCTGGAGGACTAGAATCTGATCCACTCTGGAAAAAAAATATTGAAAGGCTCTAATGTAGGATTTGAGACTGTTTATTACCCTGAGAGAGGAGTACTAGTACATTAAGGACCAATTACTGATAATGGCAGAATCTCAGGCTTTCATTTCTCAGGCTTCAACCAGCTTATCAGGCCGATTGGACTAGTCAACTCTTCAGGCTAGAAGAAAGTATTGTATGAATTTTGGGATTTGGTAGGTGCATTAAAATGTTGAGCTGCAGATAAGAAATACTCAAACTAAGAAAGCCTGGGCCTCCTGGGTGGAAGGTAAGAGGCAGGAAGCTAGGATTAACAAATACATACCCCAGGCTTGCTGCCATTCAGTACCAAGTATGCATTTTTCTAGCATGATTTGATTGCTTATTGTACCCTATGATTATTATTAAGTGTTGTACCTTATGATTCTTGACTCTGGATGAATGTATCTTTTCTTGTATGTATACTGAGAGTATTTGCACCAAAACAAATTCCTTGTGTGTCCAACCACACTTTGCCAATAAAGAATTCTATTCTATTCTATTCTTAAGTTGCTAGAAGTCTTCTTGCAGGATCCAATCTGAATAGGTCACTGGCACCAAAGATTTATTCTTCCAAGATTTTGGGCTTATGCTTGAGCTCATCCTCAGGGAGTTTCTCTTTATCCAGAATATGTATAACATGTGACCAACTCAGATTGGATTCTGCAACATTATCCTGGGACTTGTGTATTTGGCTTCTTTCATGAGAGGTTTTCTTTTTTCTTTTTAGTTTACTTCAATCCCTGTTTTAAAGTATGGTATTCAGTGTTTTCCATTCCATGTTTCAGAATACAAAGAAGGGTTTATTCGAGGCTACTAGCTGTACAAAGCTTTGAAGCAAAGTTTATCTTATAAAATCTTGTGAGTTTCATTTACCCATATGCTCCAAAAAATGGTAGTGTTCACAGAAACGAGGATTAGAGGCTCTGATGTCATCAATAGGAATTCTAGAGGAAAAGGAAAATTTTCAAAAGTGCATTGGGAAATCAGATTATTCTAGACAAGTTTTATTGTTAAGTTTGTTAAGTTTTTTTCTTTTATATTTTAATTTTCTGAATAAGATACAAAATAGGGATTTAAAAAGGGAAAATTTGATTATTTTATAAGCAATATTGTATATGCCCTACGGTCATTTTTTTTAATCAAAATGTTATGTCCCGCATCTCCAGTGCAGGAGTCACACCATGCAAGTTAAGCCAATGTGCATTATGGCTTTATTTTATACAATATATTCCATTCCGGGTCTGTTCCATGGGCAGAGCATAGAACTTTACAATTTTTTCTGAACAGATAGTTTAAAGTAGTCTTTTATTGGATTAGTACCAAATACACATGACAGTTTGTTTAATATTTACTGTACCATATAGATTAGTCCATGTACTACACCAGTCATCTACTCTCAATGTTCAGGATTACAGCTCCATTACCCCCAGTCTGTAAATAAAGTAGCATAGTATACAATAGTGACTTGTAGTGTCAATATATCCAGATGGTACAAATTGGAAAAGTTTACCATAGAATAGTGTTTCTCAGTCTTGGCAATTTCAAGATATGTGGGTTTCAACTCACAGAATTTTCCCAGCCATCTTGAAGGTGAAGTTCATACATCTTGAAAACAGTAGGGATTAAAGTAAGACTTGAATCTTATGCTATTATTGGTAAAAATGTTAATGAATAAGTAATACTGGAATAGGAAAATACGATTATGGAATGCTGTATTGCTGTTATCATATATGTTTATCTAGGAATATGTTTCTCTGAGCTCAGTAGGGTTGGCTTAGTTTTAAAAAGACGCCCAAATTGTACTACATAATTATACCTTGCACTAAGCCCTTGCTTTTTCTTGGTAGAGCCTAAATACCTACATGATACCACATCTCACTGGGTTTCCTAATCATAAATGCATGTGGACAAGTATTGTTTTCCTTACACCTTTGCCAAATATTCACCAACATACTCATACCCATATCAACCCAATTCTTACCACCCACATTTGCTTCTATTAATCTTTACAGCATTTCAGCTTATTTATTGTAATGCTGTAAACATCAGGCCTACTTTGTCATAATCTTATACAGCAGAAGAGAAAAGCAACAGTGAATTTAAAGTATCTTTGGAAATAGTGAAGTGTATATCTTTAATATATGGAGATCCATCTTAGACAAATAAGCTGTTTTTCTGCATGAAAGAGTTGGCAATGTAAATTAATTTGCAAACAAATCTTTATGTTTCTTTTTTTCTTTCTTTTTGGAACTTCTATAGATTTCTGTATCCTCTTATTGATTTTTTTCCTTTGGGTTAGACTCTTCTCCATCTCTCTCATTCTCTTTCTCTCTTCTGAGAGGGACTCCCACAGCCCAGTCATTAACAGAGAAGCCATATGTTTATTTATTGGCAGAGAAAGGGGTTTCAGCAATTTCAGTGGAAAATCCACAGTGAAGCTAAATTTAGAAACTACCAAAATACTTTTTCAAATCCCTCACTAATGAAAATCAGTCCATTAAAAAGGAATCAAAATCAAACCTTGTACTAGTCTCCTTACTGTTTACAGAAAGTGACCAACATTCATTTCAAGTTTAAAAATAGTGTTCAAACTTCATTTTACAATTTATCACTTTGGTGGCACAAATTTGCCTATGAATTTGGCTCTTGTTTCCTCTCGCAAGGTTTTCAGAAGGATTGTGAATGATTTGCCAGTTACTTTATATGCTGAGAAGTACTACAATACCAATAATGTTAGGCGTTAAATACATTTTCAGGTGTTTTTTATTCTATAGAATAAACTTTAGAGAAGTTGTTGTACTGCAACTCCTGCAAATTCCTCCTTACCTGCGAATTCATCAACTGTTCTTGTTTCTTCCAGCATTTTTGGTGCTTTTATTATCATGAGCTAATAAAAGCTAGTCAAAAAAACTACCACCAAAACACTTAGGAATGGCTTCCTTCGTGTTCTTTCAGAATGCCTCCCTTGACATCTAGTTGATTGGACATTAACTTTCCATTGAAACCATTTTCTGGATTTGGGGTGGGATGACTATGGCATTGTGTGTGTCTGTGCTTGAACAGCTAGGCAAGGCAGCATGACCACCTCTGTTCTACCAAAGGATTATGTGAAGGCCTCAGTTGCCAAAGCCATGATGGGTGGCAAAGGTCAGTATTTCATAAGTTTGGCTATTTTTTGTTACAAACCTTATGTCTTAAATCTCTTTAGGCTACCTCTGACTCTCTTTCTGGAGTTTGTGTAACATTGCGTAATCAGAAAGGAAATTATGCAATGGATGTGTATGAATGTGTATGAAAACAATACTTTTGATCCCAAGATTAGTTGGTGAATCAAGGATCATGTAAGACACCCATGAGTGTGGCTCCAGTGAGACTGTTGTTCCCTTGTTGCTAATGGCTTTTGTTTTTCCTCTTTAGTAATTTTAACCATAGTGTGAGAAACAGGCTGTGTTTCCTCCTTCCCAGCAGTGGTGATGCGGATTTTCTCCAAAAGGGAGAGTTCAGCGTTCATTCTCCTTGTGTTTCCTGCACACTGAAATCCTCAGCCAGATGCTAGTCAGATGTGTGATGAGTTGGATACCCGATCCTTCTGTGGTAGGGGCACATTCACAACCTCACATAATACCTTTATCCAGCACATTTAGGGGGTTGGCAGATGTGGTGGTGATGGAAGTGCAGGGAGCAACCCATATCAAGCTACAGGAAGAAGCCTTTGAGGGACAGCTGCAATACAGTTTGCCATTTGCAGGAAGTGCATTGCTGTCCGCA